ATTATTCATGCAACTATAGATGAGATATAAAATCATAATATAGCATAAGGGTCAATATTTGCTGAAAATGATTCCTGTCCTAAAGGATTGATTTTTCCCTCAAAACTAAAAATGTCCAAGGTTTGATTTAGTGATCTCATAGGTAAAATGGAATTTCGACAAAAAGAATTTCGCCATCTGAATTTCGACAATGTCCAAATTGTAGTAGAATTTCGACATGTTTTGAAATTCTACTACAATTTGGACAACGTTGTCGAATTTCTACAATTGCCGAAATTCTTATGAAATTACGACAGAATATTTTTTTACTGGGCATTTTATTGTCCATATTCCATCAGAACTTGGACAATATTTATTTTAAAAAAATATATATAGAAGTATATTTAATTAGTAAAATTTTGATTGATAGAGTGTGGGTGTGGATGTGGGGTTGGGTGTGGGTGTGTGTGGGATTGTGGGGTCTGGGGTGTACATGTGGATGTGGGTATGTGGGTGTGGGTATGTGGGTGTGGGCTCAGGTGTGGGTGTAAAGAATAATAACACCCACACCCACACCCACAACCCACACCCACACCCACGCCACACCCATACCCATACCCACACCCTATTGTTGTATTGCCGGTGGAAAGTGCACAATAAAAGAAAACATGAGTCATATATGTTGTCCCAATTCTGATGGAAAATGAACAATAAAATGCCCAGCAAAAAAAATTCTGTCGTAATTTCATACGAATTTCGATAATTGTAGAAGTTCGACAACGTTGTCCAAATTGTAGTAGAATTTCGACATGTTTCAAAATTCTACTACAATTTGGACATTGTCGAAATTCAGATGGCGAAATTCTTTTTGTCGAAATTCCATAGAACCATCTCATATCCTCACATCAGTCCCTACTAGAAAATAATAAAAAGAAAAAAACTAGCGGAGGAGGGGAGTATTTGGCCGAGTTCCTTTATTAAATGTTTGAACATATATGAGATCCAAATAACTGGAGCTTATTGTTAGAAAAAGAAAGACGTATTTGCACAAAAACACCTACTGCATATTTAAAAGATAAAGTTACATCTGTGAGCTCTGATATGTACAGAAAATAAGACAAAGAGTGTCACTGATATTATGTGACAGAACGAAGAAAAACATGTTCTTACTGGCACTTGAACCACACACTTTCTACCATCCGGTAAGATATTCTAAGTCAGTTAGACTAGAAGAAACATTTTGATCCTCGTTTAGCATCGAAGTGTGTCATCATTGACGCTAAAAACAACCACTACAATCACAATCACAACCACTGCAATCACAGCTGCCACAATCGCAGCTACAGCAATCACTGCTACAGCAATCACTGCTACAACAGTCGCAACCATCGCTATCACAGCAGCTATCATGTTCCATAGAAGAACTATTGTCTCCATTACCATTAAAACAGCAGATACAGCAACAGTAGTCACAAGAGTCTGTTGTCGACGACTGCCGATTTTTGTTCGATAAATGATGACGTTTTTTTGGTGGTGAAGGTTGTTCGACAATTGGATAGACTCTTATTGCTTGTATTGGATAGGGAATATTATTGAATTTCTCAATATCATTTGTCTCGAACTGTTGTTGTGAACGTGAAACTACTGACGCCTGTTGTAAATTACCATTCATTGGCGAGTAGTATTTAGGTTGTTGGTATTGTCTGAGACCGATGACATTTTCATTGAATTGATTTCTAGTTGATGGAAAGTAGTAAAAGTTATCATTTGAGGATGTCGGTTGTCCAAGTTGATATCGTTTAGTGGCCATTATTTTCTAGTTTTACAATAAATTTTATTGGCAGTAAATAATGTTAACTTGAGAGCAATGAAAGAAAACTGATTATATCTAAATGACTTCAATCGAAACGATAACACATCGTTAAAAAACATTCATGACGTCATACGTAGGTTGAAAGCGAACAAAGTGACGACAGTGGCCTTTTCCTTCCTCTGCTTACTACAAATCAATGCAGCACATTGCAATGAGTAATAAATACAACAAGTAGTGTCATTTTATGCGCGTTACTCATAAAACTGCACATGTGAGAATTCGAAGCCATGTAAAGATATTCACTATTGAGATGTAAGATTATTATCGTTCGATTCAACTCTTGTATTTATCGATCAATTTACTAGTACATGGATATTCGATTTTCATTATTTTATGATGTAAATGTCTACCTTCTTGAGTTCGAAAATTCTTTCACTCATATAAGTATACAAAGTTAGTTTTTGAATTTGAAGTAAATAGACCTTTCAATTTGATTCTATCGTGTCATTATGGGTAACTGAACGATACCAATAAAGCTTAATTCATTGTCTAGAAGAGGGTGTGGGTGTGGGTGTGGGTGTGGGTGTGGGGTGTGGGTGTGGGTGTGAGTGTGGGTGTGGGTGTGGGGATGGGTGTAAGTATGGATTTTCAATTCACCGACTCACACCCACACCCACCCACAGTCACACCCACATCCACACCTTCCCACACCCACACATCCATACCCACACCCTCCCACACCCTCACCCATACCTTGAAATTGCATATACGTGATGAAAGTATGAGGATTTAGTGACCCACCGAAACGAATGTAAATGGGGAAAAAATCAATCAATTTCATTGAAGCAGAATGAACTGTTTCGTTGATTGTTGTCTATTTGACTCAAATGTCACGGTTGATTAATTACATAAATACATCTATGTTGAAAATAACCAAGTTACTTTTACCAAATATAAAAACAAACGAAAGCAGCTACAAAGACATAAAGCAAACTCGCATATTTTACAACTATATCGCACAATACTCATGTAAGTTTGATTTTTAATATTAATTCCACAGTAGTGCTAAGATTTAAATTTGAATCCAAGTGTGCTGATACATCGGCGTCATTCTTCAATAATTCTCCCTTTTTGCTCTCTCTATTGTTCATTTCTGTGTGCATCTCTGTCTCTCTCATATAAAGGTGTGCTCACTGTCAAATAGTTATACTCTGCATATTTCAAGTAGCCAATAAACATGATTAGCAATGGTAGTGGAAACCTACTCTACATTTTGTCATTCCATCATCTCACCTCTTATTTTATCGTTACAACTACTTTATGATATTCTTGTTCTTCCTAGTTGAATATCAAGAATTCAGGAACTTCTCATATATGTAGAGCGGTAACGGTTTTTATTGATTGCATGTGATTTCCGATGTTGGAATCAGTTTGTTCACCGTTGTGAGAACATATAAGAATAACCTATATATTGCAATGACTCTTTTGTCGACAAATCTGAAATATTGCCCCAATTGGATTATGTCATCCGACGAATTGATTTTTATGCTGTATGGAAGCACATTTTACACTGGAGATGTGGGTGTGAGTGAGTGTAGCTGTGGCTGTGGATGGGAAGGAAGGTAAGAGTAACACCCATACTCACACACCCTCAGCCGTTTGAATGCATTTCAAAGAAAGTAGAGACATGGTTTTTTTGTTAATTGTAGTTAAAAAAATCTGAAACACAGATTGAAATGATTTGAATTTTCGAAAAGGAAACGTCACTAGTTGAATCCAGGATGCTTTATAATAATCAAAAGTAGCAGGTAACTAAACATGGTGGTTTAGAATTTCATTAATATGAGGATGAGTCCGGTTAGATATCGATCAATGTAGCAATTTAACAGTTCGGTTTAGATAATAAATAGAACTGTTTATTTATCTTAGCTTTGTTAAATAAAAAAAGAAATTTTTCATTTTTGAAAACAAAATCAATAAATTTTTATCATTTAAGAAATAAAGGTGAAATAAAAAATCCAGAAAAGTGTTTTCCTACGATAGATAGATTGAAAGCTATATGGCATAAAAATAAAATGTGTTAATGAATATTCTTTCACATTAACATGTCACCCAGATATGTGTTATTAAATTAAAAAAACAAGTCGATACATAAGGGTGTGTGTGTAGGTGTGGAGTGGGTGTTACTATTGTATTCGTTTACATCCCCAGCCATACCCTCAGGCATACTCACACCCATACCGACACCCACATGACCAGCGATTCTAAACGTTTCGCCAGTACATAGGACGATCAGAGTACATGAGAGTACATCCCCACCCATTCTAAGCTTTTTCCCAGTACATATGACAATCAGAGTACATAATTGGTTTATGAAAGTGTATGAGTACCTGAGAGAACAAATTGTGCTTGTATTCGCGCACCTCTGCTTTGTTTATATGTTATTTCTTTAGAGTTTTCATTGTACGATCGATCTACTATAATATCAGTTTCATAAAAGCATTATAAGATAGCTTTTATGCAATGTTCATGTCAGTGTTTAAGTGTGCCTGGGATGCGAGTGAAAGTGTGAACCTTCTCATTTTCTATAAAGACAGGAATGACTGAAAGGCTATTTTTGACTGCGAACTAATGTACACTTTTGGGTGAGATCATGGTGAACTAGATCGTCAAATAGCAAATCAAAAGTGTTGTATATTTGGCTAATCACAACAGGCCGGAAGATTTCGCAAAAGAATTATCGAATATTGCTCATTCAAATTGGACGTCATCCCAGCATCTGTATTGGTTGATTTGAAGCTTGAAATGAATATAACAATGCATGGAGTCCTAGTGAATGTCGCCTGTCATATGATGCAACCGAAAATACGGACTGATGAGACGACAGTAAAAAACATCGTTTGGCAAATAGATATGAGCGAAGGAAAAACGTCTGTTATTATATCAATGTTAGCGCTTAGTTTATGTTCGTCGTACTCGAGCTTGGTACGTGTAGTAGAATTGATTTGTCGTCGCAGTATAAGTTTTGACCATTTTGATGGTTGGGTTAACATTTTTATATTTATTTGTTTGTTCTTTTTCTTTAGGTTACTATGAAACAACTTTTCTTTTCTTCTCTCTATTACTATCATCATTATCTGACATAATCGATAATTAAAATAAACAATAAAAACAAAATTAAATAAAAATTGATCTTAGAATTATATGTTTATATAATGAGAAATTGTACTTGTACATCTTGTTGATTCCATTCATTCATAATTACCGAATGATAGGCAATATTTGTTATTACAATAATATATTCAAAGAGACAAAACAGGGAATAAATGTATGGTTCACAAAACGTCACATGTCGATAATAAAGATAGAATGAAGTCAAAACTGAAAGAATATTCAACATAAACCATCTTAATCTTTTTGAACGTAAAGATTTTTCTTGTTCATTTAAAGGAATATGTATTATTCTTGGCCAAAAATAATCGGTTAATGCCGTCAATAGCATATGTGCTAATGAACATATGATAAAACTAATAAAGGAGCATTCATGTATCCATTTGATTTCGTTCGATGATACGTATGTCAATAAAAGGAGAGATGTTAATTCAAGAAAATGAAAAGTACTACCTGTTATTTGTACTAATGTAAAACGTTCAGGATAGTCCATATAATGACGATTAAGTACATGATTCAATTGTAAATAAGCAATAACATAACGAGGAATACTATTCAAAGCAAAACAGAAACGCCATATAAAACGTTGAGGTTCATATTCACCGATCGATGCTGATATTGATGGAAGAAAATTAGAAACATTACAATGTGTGCGTGTTGATTTTTCAAAATCTTTCATTAATGATAAACTAACACAAGAAAATAGAGCAAAACATGGTAATATATAAACAAACCATAGAAAATGGCGCATAGATATATGAATACCTATAAAACAATGTTTAAATGAAACAAATCTTTTTCAAAGCAGAAAATTTAATTACGTGACAACATTCTTTGACAAGTCGTGTTTACTTGAATGGAATAGGATCAATATGAGAATCTAGAATGATTTATGTCACATATATTTAACATTTCATACAAAAAAAAATCTACATCAGCAACAGCATTCCATTGGACATTATTTGAATCGTGGTGATTCATCAAACCTGTAGGTCATTCATTCTTCAAACCTGTACATTAAACCAATGAAATATTTCAACGTAAGAGGTCATTTTCAAGTAGATTGTATGAATAGAAGCGGTAATAAGACAATATTTTTCTACTCTGCTTAGCTCACTTAAAGATCGACTTAATTGATGAATATAATGAACTCAAAAATTGACCAAGAATAGCTCGACCATTAACCCTCCGGTAGCCCCGATGTACGAATGTTTGTTCCGGTCAACCGGTAGCGACCACATTCGACATCTACTTTCAGTTGTCTACCTCTTTTTCTGCTCTCGTAGATGTAACCATCGACCTAACATAGAGAGTGATCCCATTCAAAAGAGCAAGGGTGACTGATAAAGGACATGGAATCAATGCAAAAGGAGTATTAGCGATAACGAGCTAACAACATGTGAAAAGTAAAAAGATCGACGAAGATTGTCAAGACATAAACAAGAGTGCGAGAACATAAAAGAACGACTGAGGTTAGTATACGTTCGAGAAAAAGACGACCAATGAGAAGAGAATGACAAGAAGAATGAAGAAAAGACGAAGTGATACAGTAAGATGATCATGAACACGACAACAAGAGAGATAAGAACGGTAAAAACGAAGGAAGAATGTCAATAATCTAAAGCAAATAGAGACAACGATATAGCTGAAAGTTGATCCTTACATCTACATACCGCATTATCAGAAATTGTGTTGTTAAACTGCGTGCCTAAATGCACATATTTTTCTAATGAAATAAAGAAGGACTGACTATTTATATCTGCTCTCTCTATTGTCAGTATGCTGAACCTACCGATCAGTAGAATACTATCGCTGTTATATCGTCGGCCGCTCATAAAATTTCACGACATGCATTATTTCTATTGATGACGAAGAAAAATTCGATAATCGATGAATTAAAGAAATTTGAAACGATGTAGTTGTCGATAATCATATTAATCCTTTACAATACCAACGCTTACTCCTCCCTTTCATAATGTCGTTCTTATTCTCTTCTTTTTACGTCTCCTTTCGTATTATCAATACTACTTTTTTCTTTCTTTCAGTTCTTTATAAGCCAGTGTT